AGCAGCCATATGTAAAATGTAAAGGAAAAGGCATGGCTGTGCTCTAGTAAAACTTTATTTATGGGCACATGTCCATTCTTACTTAGCTTGCTAGCCACACAGAAACATGTAGTGAGCTGCATGTGGCCTGTGGGTGGCAGTTTGCTGTGAGGTAGGATAATATAAGAAACCTGATGTTAATAAGTTTTGTAGTATCTGTGCTGCCTGTGTATTCTCTGTAGAGATCCTTTTCGTGCTCACTTAGCGAAGTGAAAAATAACTGGAAATGCTAAATGAATCCAGTGAGTAGAAGGGAGTTGAGCTGACTTTTGGGCAGTGGAGAAGTATTCCCCCTGGAGGCCGGCTGGGATAGTGGCAGCAAAAAGCAGAGTGAGAACCACAGGGCAATGAGAGACTGCTGGCTACACACCATAGATTCAGTCTTTCATTCATTCTCTGCTGATACCTTGGTGGTTTTGTGTTTCGTTTTAAAAGGGGAAGCCAATCTTTTTTTTTTTTTTTAATTATTTCAGCAAAGCAATTTACTTCTGCAGAAGAGTGCCACTTGCGTCACTCAAGATCGCAAGAGCACAGAGAACAAAGGAGACCAGGGGTTTTTATCCTTAACGCAGTTCCTATCTCTGTGCCACTCCCCCATGGACTGGGGTTGGATCGCACAATTTGAGCTGACCCGATTGGCTATTTGTACATATTGTTTTGAATACAGAAGGGGAGGAGGACAGAGGTGGAGCGTGTGAGACGTGCAGTTTCAGGGGAACATGGGGTACAGGTAACCAAGGGAACAGATGTGAGTTATTGACTAGAGCTGATGGGAAGAGGGTAGGCTGTTTACGGTAACTAGGGGCAAGGAAGAACAAGAAAGTTGAGTTTGAGAACAAAGGATAAGGAAATTAACAAGCTAAACTCTATAAGAGAAACTCAGAAGACTTATTGTATCTTACATGACAGTTGAAGAAGCATCTGTAGGGAATCCAGAAGGAGCATTCATGAAGGTATTATAAGCCCGGAAAAAGCACATGAGCACTGAGCTGACTATTGAGCCGGAGATGGCCTCAGACAGCAATGGCATCAACTTGTCAGGCTTTGGGAGTGAGCAGCTGGACATCAATGACGCACTAAATTACGTCTTGCCTTATTTCTTATAGAAAAATCTGTAAGATGTAGACTCAATGTTGTTACTGTTAGGGACAAGCTGCCCCAGGAACCGCCTCCCTGCCATAGTGCAGCTGACCCTTACCCTGAATACTCTGCAACTGCATTCCTGAACCCTTATCTAAGTGCCACAGCAAGGTCACCAGACTTGCTACACTAAGCAAACCCTACTTATAACCCTGCATGCAGCACAGGGAAGGTCACGAGAAACGTGGATAAATCACAAGAAACGTGGATATACCCTCTTGTAAATTCCTCCGGTCATGAGATGATATGTGGTAAAGTTAACTGACAAGACCAAGAAGCAGCTTCTCCGCTCCTTCTGGGATCTCCATCTGGTTCGACCTTCCTGCCCCCACCATGTCTGTCAGGGTGACCCAGAAGTCCTACAAGGTGTCCACCTCTGGGCCCTGGGCCTTCAGCAGCCACTCCTACACAAGTGGGCCCGGTGACCACATAAGCTCCTCGAGCTTCTCCCAAGTGGGCAGCAGCAGCTTCCGGGGTGGCCTGGGTGGAGGCTATGGTGGGGCCAGTGGCATGGGAGGCATCACCGCCATCACGGTCAACCAGAGCCTGCTGAGCCCTCTTAACCTGGAGATGGACCCCAACATCCAGGCCGTGCACACCCAGGAGAAGCAGCAGATCAAGACCCTCAACAACAAGTTTGCCTCCTTCATAGACAAGGTATGGTTCCTGGAGTAGCTGAACAAGATGCTGGAGACTAAGTGGAGCCTCCTGCAGCAGCAGAAGACAGCTCAGAGAAACATGGACAACATGTTCGAGAGCTACATCAACAACCTTAGGTGGCAGCTGAAGACTCTGGGCCAGGAGAAGCTGAAGCTGGAGGCGGAGCTTGGCAACACGCAGGGGCTGGTGGAGGACTTCAAGAACAAGTATGAGGATGAGAACCATAAGCGTGCAGAGGTGGAGAATGAAATTGTCCTCATCAAAAGGATGTGGATGAAGGTTACATGAACAAGGTAGAGCTGGAGTCTCGCCTGGAAGGGCTGCCTGATGAGATCAATTTCCTCAAGCAGCTATATGAAGAGGAGATCTGGGAGCTGCAGTCCCAGATCTCGGACACATCTGTGGTGCTGTCCATGGACAACAGTCTCTCCTTGGGCATGAACAGCATCATTTCTGAGGTCAAGGCGCCATACGAGGAGATCGCCAACTGCAGCCAGGCCAAGCTGAGAACATGTACCAGATCAAGTATGAGGAGCTGCAGACGCTGGCTGGGAAGCACAAGGATGACCTGTGGTGTACAGAGACTGAGATTTCCGAGATGAACCGGAACATCAGCCGACTCCAGGCTGAGACTGAGGGCCTCAAAGGCCACAGGGCTTCCCTGGAGGCCCGCATTGCAGATGCCGAGCAGCGTGGGGAGCTGGCCCTTAAGGATGCCAATGCCAAACTGTCCGAGCTGGAGGTCTCCCTGCAGCGGGCCAAGCAGGACATGGCGTGGCAGCTGCTTGAGTACCAGGAGCTGATGAACGTCAAGCTGGCTCTGGACATCGAGATAGCCACCCACAGGAAGCTGCTGGAGGGCGAGGAGAGCTGGCTGGAGTCTGGGATGCAGAACATGAGTATCTATACGAAGACCACCAGCAGTTATGCAGGTGGTCTGAACTCGGCCTATGGAGGCCTCACAAGCCCCTGCTTTGGCTCTGGCGTGGGCTCCACCTCCTTCAGCTGCACCAGCACCACCAGGGCTGTGTTTGTGAAGATCAAGACCCATGATGGGAAGCTGGTGTCCTAGTCCTCTGACATCCTGCCCAAGTGAACAGCTGTGGCAGCCCCTCCCAGCCTGACCCTCCTGCGGCTCTCCCGGAGAGCGGAAGAGTAGCACAGGGAACCGGAGACCCACTTGAGGCCCAGCCCTAGCCCTCAGTCTACCCACAGGGGAGTTTACTACCTGGGCACCCCCCATGCCCATGCCTTCGGCTACAAAACAATTCAACTGCTTTTTTTTTTTTTTTGTCCAAAATAAAACCTCAGCTAGCTCTGCCAACAGCTAACCTTATGGTTACCTGTTTTTTTCAAATGTAAAAGATGGGTATTCTGAAAAACCATACAAAGAGTCCCTCTCTTCAGCCTGCGTCCAACAACTCATGAAATTAGAAATTGTCCAACCACAGGAAAACAGCCTGGCTAAGATTCAAAGTGTAGGCAAAAGCCTGCAGAGAGTGAAGAGAATCCTCATGGGCCCAGGGAGCATCCAGAAAAGTCACTTCAAACAGGTGGGAAAGCAGAGCAACAGGAGGGAACAGGGTGCCTGGGCATTTGTGGAGAGCGCTGCCAAAGAAAAAAGGCTCCGGAGTCCAGCTCCAAGGGAGCTGGAATGGCCTCACATAGAACAGGTGCATGAGAAGTTAGCAGGAAACGCCGTCTATATCAAGCCTTCATTCACCCAAGAGCATAAGGCAGCAGTCTCCTCTTTGCTGAAACCCTTCTCCATGGGCGTGCCTTCTGCCTCCACCCCTGCAAAAGCCCTGCCTGAGGTCAGAAACAGATCGAAAGACTTACCCATTTTGGTTTTAGAAAATGCAAAGTTGAGTTAAAACCAATTGTACATTCCAGAAAAGTTCTCTCAATAGACTTTTCTCGCAAAGACGCCTCCATTCTCTGCAGCGAAGAGCCTCATAAATGCCCCTTCACAAGGGGCTTTTTCATCTTTAGGAGACCCGAGTCTTCAGGAAAATCTTTTTCTGGAAGTATTTGCTCCATCAGAATGTTTTAAAAATGCCACTGCAAGAAATGCCTTTGAACAAAGCATTTTTATGGAGAACACTACTATGCCAGAAGGCACTGTCTCTGAAAACACAACCTACAACCATCCACCTGAGGCACATTTTGTTGGCACTGTGTTCAACTTAGAGAAGACTGTGAAACACAATGGGAATACAACAACATGGGCACTGGCCTGTCCCCCGAGCCCAAAAGCTTCAGTTACCCACTGCTCTTATCCCCAGGTGATCAGTTTGAAATTTAGCTAAACCAGCAACTACGGCCCCTCATCCCCAACAATGATGTGAGAAGACTCATTTCTCATGTTATCTGGACCTTGAAGAGGGACTGCTCTGAGATCCACGTGCAGTTGGCCTGTACCAAGCTCATCTCCAGGACAGACCTCCTGTTTCATCAGTGAGCAGCAAGAAGCAAAGGTGTCCAAGGCAGAATGGGATATGGACCAATGGAAAACTGAGAGCTGTATCAATGAGAGCACGGAAGCCCAGAGCAAACAGAAAGAACAGAAGTCAAGTGAGGTGAGGACCACACAGAAACATGAGACCCAGACTTCCCCATCATTTAGCATCTGCTAGGAAAGTGCCCACACAGGAGAACCTGGGACTCCCAGACCATAGTTTGTCTTGGCCATGTAACTTCGGTCATGACAGTGATCTCCCACTTTGCTCATTTAGAGAGTGAAACAGATTAGTACACAAGGTAAACTGTAGGCTGGACGCGATGGCTCACGCCTGTAATCCTAGGACTTTGGGAGGCTGAGGTGGATTGATTACTTGAGGTCAGGAGTTTGAGACCAGCTTGGTCAACATGGTGAAACCCTGTCTCCAAGGGGAAGCCAATCTTAATGTCCACCCATTTTCTTTAATAATGAAGCTGTATTATTTATATCTCAGAGAATTAATTCATTTCAGGTAATTTGTTGGAATTTTCCTTTCACATTTTTCAGTATTAACGATCTTACCTGTTTGTACTACTAGCCTAAAAGTTCATTAATTTTTAGGTGATAAGTAGCTGTTGTTAATAATTTATTTTATGTTTGTTTTATTGATTTATTTGTGCATATTTAACCATCTACCATAATTTTTACCTTGTATCAACAGGATTCTTACTACAGATTTAATGACCTTAACTACAGATGGATCTCTTTGGATAACTGGACCTACAGCAAGGAATTTAAAATCCCCTTTGAAATTAGGTATGTATGTTTGTGGGTGTATTTTTATTATTATTTGAACTTTTCTTCTTTTTCTATCTAGGCAAAAATCTTGTGTTTTGTTTGTTTAGGTTACATATTTGAGAGTTAAGTAAGATGAAAGCCTTGTACTATAAAAGTGAATATATTATTTATGTTTTGTTTTGTATATGAGGATGGTGCTACTAATCAACAGTCACCAAATGGTGTCTTATGGAATCATTTTTCCAGTTGTTATAATGGAGCCATCTAAACCTACTCAGATCTTATGTAGATTTCCTCTTTCCCACTCCCTTGTAATCATCAGAGTATATATTTATTATAATATTATAATATATACTCTTGATGATTACATTATGATTAGCAATCATAATGTAATTACTAATGTAATTAGTAATGATTAGTAATCATTAGAGTAGATATTATATTGTCTAGTAGGATTATAATTTGCTCTATGTCCAGTAGATGTATCATTTGCTCTATGTAGTACTAACCAGCCATTGAGACTATGACCTTGACCTATACTACGTGGTGAGGCCAGGAGGTGAAGCACAGGTATTGTTTTCAGTAATGTTCTGTTGTTATAAGCAAATATTTCCATATGAGGCAGAATGTTACCCAAAGTTACCACTACTACTGCTAAATTAAAAAAATCCTTCCGTCCCTTTTATGTGATTTTTTTTTTAGTAATTATTTACTAGTCTTTTAAAGGGGGAAGAAGGCCAGAATACTGTTATCAATATCATGGAGTTTCTGCTGTGCTCCAGGCTTTTATTTACAGATAATCTTTAGAGTATCTTTCATAATGGTTCTATTTCACCTTGAACTCAACATATCCTATTAACTTTCCCCCTTAAAACTTTATATTCTAACAGCTTCATTGTTTCTCTTAATGTAACACCATTTTCCAATCTATGTCTAAGGTGCTTTGGGCTTATTACATCTTTTCTTCATCTTCCTGTGTTCAGTCTGTTCTGGGTCTTGCAAATTTTTGTCTAACATTTCTCTTGGTTTTGCCCCTTCCATCTCATTTCCATCTTTCCATCTTTGCCTAGAAGATGAGTGCCAGGAAAGAGGCCAAAGCTGCCGAATCAAATTTCTTGCTTCATTCTTTTATTCTCCAATCTTTTCTATTTAGAAACATTAGATTAATCATCCCAGAATATTGATTTTGCCAAGATAGGTATTCGCTCAAGAATACCAAGTGTCTGTTTTACTTGGCAAATCAAGTATAAACTTCTCACTTGTCTCTGAAAATACAGCTGAATGATGTCTGTCCCTGTAACACTGCCCGCACCTCTCTGCCCCTTGGATTTGTCCAGCTTTTTCCTCCTTAGCTCTCCAGCCCAAATTACACATATGAGTCAATTACCTAGTAATTCATGCTGTCAACACTTCCTTGTTTTGGTTTCGCTCTTTGCAGGGGTAAGGGGTTCCTGCAAAGAGCAAAGGGTGTAAGGGGAATAGAAATGCCTCTACCCAGGCATTTCTACCTAGTTAAAAAAAATACTTTATTGATATATAATTAACATACTGTACAATTCAGTAATTTAAAGTATATAATTCAATGGTTTTTAGTATATTTACAGTTACAAAACCATCACCACAATCAATTTTAGAATATTTTCCTCATCCCCCGCAAAAAGTTACACCCATTAGCAGTCGTTTGCCATTGCCCTTGAATTCTTACCCCAGCCCTAGGAACCACTACTTTACTTTCTGTCCCTCTGGATTTGCTTGTTCTGGTTACCTCATATAAATGGAATCATACAATATGTGGGCCTTTGTGACTGCCTCTTTCACTTAGCATAATAATGTTTTCAAAGTTCATCCATGTTGTAGCATGTATCAGTACTTCATTCCTTTTTATTGTTGAATAGTATTTTATTGTATGAATATAACACATTTTATTTATTATTCTGTTCATTAAGTTCTTGTTTCTATCTCGAAATCTTTTCTTATGAGATAAACTCTGATAGCACTTGTAGTTGTTCAACAATATTGCCAGCCAGCCACCAAATGCCAACCAGATTGCAGACTCCTTAAATTCAGGCACTATTACAGTTTCCTGTAAGGCTTAGCGGAGTGCTGGGTGCATAATATTCATTTATAGATGATGGTTTTCTAATGTGTTCTCTTAGACAGTGTCAGTAAATGTAGTTTGTGAGAACGTTTTATGTCTATTATTTAACTTGGTTCTCTTTTTCTTTTTTTTGAGACGGAATCTCGCGAGTGCAGTAGCAGGATATCCGCTCACTGCAACCTCCGCCTCCTGGGTTCAAGTGATTCTCCTGCCTCAGCCTCCCTAGTAGCTTGGATTACAGGCAGCTGCCACAACACCTGGCTAGTTTTTTGCAATTTTAGTAGAGACAGGGTTTCGCCATGTTGGCCAGGCTGGTCTCGAACTCCTGACCTCAGGTGATCCGCCTGCCTAGGCCTCCCAGAGTTCTGGGATTACAGGCATGAGCCACTGCTCCCAGCCTAACTTGGTTCTCATAATAACTTTCTGAAGTATTAACTGGAAAAAGTCAATATATTTGGAATTTATAAGTTGTGCTCTTGGTATTATGGTGATTTATTGATACATTATGGAGAAAGATAAGCTGCATCACTCAAAGAATGTAAGTATGTTTTAAAGCAGTACTTCTGAAAATGTCACTGGAAATTACCTTTAAGAATTTTTTTTTGTGGAATATTTATTTCTTTAGGCCTTAAATAATAAAAAAGAGACTTATCTAAGTTAATGTTTTACACATCTTGTTTTAAAAATCTTTTCTTTTTTTTTAGCAAATGGCAAAAAGTAAATTTGATTCTTGAGGGAGTGGATACAATTTCAAAAATCCTGTTCAATGAAGTCACTATTGGGGAAACAGACAATATGTTCAATAGATATGTAAGTTTATAATGACATCAGGTTAAAAAACCATTTATGTGTGTTTATGTTAATTGCTTTTGTGAGTAGAGAAAAGTAAATGCATAATTGGCCATGTGACAAATACAAGCTCATTAAAGCACTGGATGAGTTACTTCATTTCTCAGTTGCCAGATTTGTGAAATAATGGAAACCTTACAAACCCCATGGGGTTAGTGTGGGGATTTAGTAAGCTAATTATATAAAATGTTGGCAAGTTCTTGGCACATAGGAAGTGTTCAAAACATGCCAGTCCCTTCTTTGGTGATACAGTTTCATTGGACAAATGATTTTAAAATAAAATGTCATTTCCTTTCTGGAATAGTTACATTAAGAGATTATATCCTGATCTTCCTTTCCTTTCAAAGGTAGACTTTATCAAAACAAAAATAACTCATGACTTAGAAATGCATGCTGTTCATACCAGAGAGGCAGGTTGTCATGAAGCGTCTAGGAAACACTTGGCAGTTCAAGGCCACATATAAGTAGACAGAGCAGGCATTCCAGAGCTAAAGTTATTTTTTGCTCTATCCATTTCCCTAGAACCATCATTCTGCCAGGAAAAATAGAAGGAGAAGCCTAGAAACTTGGACTGGGTAGGAAAATATGCTTAGTTTTAACTAAAAGTGGACAACTAAGTGATACAGTATTTCAGAGAAGTGTTTCCCTTGCAAGGAGGCTAAACCTAGATTGGCATTATATTATGCATCTTTCATACAAAATGCCTTTATCTAAAATTTTACACACAAGACTACTTCCACATCATGGGTTTGTCTGTTTGTTCCCTTCAACTTAGAGCTTTGATATTACCAATGTGGTCAGGGACGTGAACTCCATTGAGCTGCGTTTCCAGTCAGCAGTGTTGTATGCAGCACAGCAGAGCAAAGCTCACACACGCTACCCGGTGCCCCCGGACTGCCCTCCACTTGTGCAGAAGGGTGAATGCCATGTCAACTTTGTCCGGAAGGTAATGGTCTCTCAAACAGGTCGGGTTTTATTTTTGAGGACAGGATGTGCTGGCTTATGAAATGCTTATTTGGAGACTCCCATGGCATTTCAGAAGTTAGGAATCTCTTTCCTGATCCCTTAGTGGGGTTTGAAAATTTGAGATAAGAATCAAAAGATTATTTGAAATATTGTGGAGAATCTTTATCTTTTTCTAAGTTTTCTTCCTGAAGCGTGTTCAGAACTTAGGTAACAGAAAAAGAAAGGAAAAGAAAAATATGTGGTTGAAAATGGAACTTTACAAATTATTTTTTTAACAATTAAGTTTATCAAACTTTTCACCAGATTGTGAAAATGTATTAGTGATTCTTGTTTCTAGGAAGGCTTCTGCAAATATTAGTATATTTGATGATATGTTCTTGCATCTTACTGTCGAGTTCTCATAAAATCTAACATAAAGATAACAAAGTCCACAAAAGTAATTATTTTTCTTTGAGTTTGATTCCATTCTAGAGGACTTGGATCTATTTTACTACATGATTAAATTAGTATTCTGTGTGACACTTGTTTTTTTAATGTTTATTTCATTTTATTTCATATTTAAAAAATTTAGTTGTATAAACTATACATAAAATTTATCATTTTAATAATTTTTAAGTGTACAGTTTAGTAGTGTTAAGTATATTTACATTGTTAAGTAACCATAGAACTTTCTCATCTTGCAAAACTGAAACTCTATACCCATTACTCATTATATTATATTATACCCATTATAGTTTAAACAGTAGCTCTCCATTTCCTTCTCCCCAGCCCCTGGCAACCACCCTTCTACTCTTTTCTTTCTTTCTTTTTTTTTTTTTGAGACTGGGTCACACTCTGTTGCCCAGGCTGGAGTACAGTGGTGCGATCACAACTCACTGCAGCCTCCACCTCCCGGGCTCAAGCGATCCTTCCACCTAGGTCTCTTGAGTAGCTGGGACTACAGGCGAACGCCACCGTGCCCAGATGATTTTTGTATTTTTTTTGTAGAGACAAGATTTTGCCATGTTGACCAGGCTGGTCTTTAACTCTAAGGCTCAAGCAATCTATCCACTTTGGCCTCCCAAAGTGCCGGGATTACAGGTGTGAGCCACCTTCTTTTCTGTGTGTTTGATTCCTCTAGAAATCTTATATAAGTGGAATCATACAGTATTTGTCTTTTTGTGACTGATTTATTTCACTTAGCGTAATTTCCTCATGATGCATCCATGTTGTAGCATGTGTCAGAATTTCTTTACTTTTTAAGGCTGAATAACATACCATTCTATGCATAGACCACGTTTTGTTTATCCATTCATCCGCTGATGGACATGTAGGTTGCTTCCACCTTTTGGCTGTCGTGAATAATGCTGCTATGAACATGGGTGTACAAATATCTCTACATGACCCTTCTTTCGATTCTTTTGGATATATTCCCAGAAATGGTGTGGTTAGATCATACGGTAACTCTATTTTTAATTTTTTGAAGGATTGAATTTATATTTATTATTTATTTATTTATTTGAGATGGAGTCTTGCTCTGTTGCCCAAGCTGGAATGTACTGGCGAGACCTCGGCTCACTGCAACCTCCGCCTCCCGTGTTAAAACAATTCTCTTGCCTTGGTCTCCCGAGTAGCTGGGATTCCAGGCATGCACCACCACACTTGGCTAATTTTTTTATTTTTAGTAGAGATGGAGTTTCGCCATGTTGGCCAGGCTGCTCTTGAACTTCTGACCTCAGGTGGTCCACCTGCCTCGGCCTCCCATAGTGTTGGGATTACAGATGTGAGCCATGAAATTCAGTTTTAACAACAAATGTAGTGATTGGGCTCATTGTGAAGACACTAAACATATTTTCCCAATACTCTTTAGGCAGAACTGTTACATTAGCTAATATGTTCTGATTAAATTAAGTGGCTCTCTTTCAGCTGGATGGATTTACTATTAAATTATGTTTCCTTAATATAAGTACTAGGGTTAAAATTATACCTCCTCCTGTTTGATTCAACCTACCCAAACTTATGTCAATGACCCATTAACCATTTGTTCAAACTACTGTAATAACAGCCTTAGAGTATTGCTTTGACCAGTAGTCAAGTATTCCATGGAATATTTGTATACTTATAATTCTGGATAAGATTTATCTTTTGATTCTTTTGCCTTTGGCTTCCAATGACACAGTGGTTTAAATGCTAGAGGTTGTAGTTTTTACCTCTCCGCTTCCTTCCTTTCTTTTCTTTTCTTTTTTTTTTTTAAGATGGAGTCTTGCTCTGTCACCCAGGCTGGAGTGCAGTGGCATGACCTCAGCTCACTGCAACCTCTGCTTCCCAGGTTCAAATGATTCTCCTGCCTCAGCCTCCTGAGTAGCTGGGATTACAGGCACCTGCCACCATGCCTGGCTAATTTTTGTATTTTTTAGTAGAAATGGGGTTTCACCATGTTGGCCAGGCTGGTCACGAACTCCTGACCTCAGGTGATCCACCCACCTTGGCCTCTCAAAGTGCTGGGATTACAGGTGTGAGCTACCGTGCTGGCTTCCCCTTCCATTTTTAACCTTTATCAAAACTGAAACTAACCTGGATCCTAATGTGAAAAGTTACTTTTCAAGTCATTAATAAAGATAATATAAATGTTATATATATATTCATATGCTATTTTCCCTCCACCTTCTATTCAATTTGTGGTATTTAAAACATACTCTCAAGTTATCTAGATAGAACAAAGCCCTTTGTCACTGACATCAGGAATCATACCAGTTTTCTGCTATCACAATGTTTTGGAAACTAATCTTAGGGTAGACTTCCAGAACAATTGCAAGTTGCATCTAGGTATTTCTGACTAGATTGACATGGTCCAGTGGGAAGATACCTGAGTTGGAAACCAAGTCAAGAGTCTTGGGTTTGAATTCTGGCTTTATGAACATAGAATAACTTTAGGCATGCCCATCATTTGTACATGGAGCTAATCCCTGATATGAGGATATAGTGAAATAACAATGTAAGTGCCCTTTGCATTTTGTAAAGTGCTATACAACCATTCAAAAATTAGAGTGGTGATATCTATTTTGGAGGCTTATTACTATAATTACAGGTAATGAACAAGATGCTCAGCTTAGCTTATTATGAAGTTAGTGGGTCTTTAATCTCTTAATCCTGTTATCTTCATAAGCTGAGAATATACGTCACCTCAGGACCACTATTGTAGAAATTGATTGTAGGACATGTGTGTTTGAACAATATGAAATCTGATTGTAAAACGTGTGTTTGAACAATATGAAATCAGTGCACCCTGAAAAAGAACAGAATAACAGCAATTTTCAGGGAACAAGGGAAGATAACCATAAGGTCTGACTGCCTGAGGGGTCGGGCAGACCAGAGCCATATTTTTCTTCTTGCAGAAAGCCTATAAATGGATGTGTGAGTAGGAGCAATATTGCTGAATTCTTTTCCCAGCAAGGAGTAACCCTGGGAAGGAATGCATTCCTGGGGGTAGGTCTATAGATGGTTGCTCTGGAGTGTCTGTCTTATGCAGTTGAGATCAGGACTGAAATATGCCCTGGTCTCCTGCAGTACCCTCAGGCTTACTAGGATTGGGAAATTCCAGCCTGGTAAATTCCAGTCAAACTGGTTCTCTGCTCTCGAACCCCATTTCCTGTTAAGATGTTTATCAAGACAATGCGTGCACAGTGGGACATAGACCCTCATCAGTAATTCTAATTTTGCCTTGCCTTGTGATCTTTATTGCCCTTTGAAGCATGTGATCTTTGTGATTTACTCCCTGTTTGTACACCCCCTCCCCTTTTAAAATCCCAAATAAAAACTTGTTGGTTTTGTGGCTCAGGGTCATCATCATGGTCCTACCAATATGTGATGTCATCCCCAGAGGCCCAACTGTAAAATTTCTCTCTTTGTACTCTTTCTTTTTATTTCTCAGACTGGCTGACACTTAGGGAAAATAGAAAAGAACCTATGTTGAAATATTGGAGGCTGGTTCCCCCGATACTCTCTTTCACCAGTTCTTTGACCCTCTGCTTTCCTTGTAGCAACCTAAGTCCCCTCTTGTCTCTGCTTTCTTTTCTGTCCAGCATGGATAATGGGATTCATCACTTCAGCTACCCTCTTACCAAGGTTTGATGCCATCTTTCTTGTTTTCCATTTACATCTCTGGCCTTTCCTTGTAAGTCTCTTTATCCACATCCTTGTTCTCCTAAAAGTTATATTATAGGGTCTTTCTCTGTTCTAGACTCTTTTCTCATTTTATACCCTCTCTAGGCTATCTCATTTTTCATTTCTTCCATAATAAATCTATTTGCCATTGTCTTCCAATATTGTGTCTTCAGCCCAACTTTTCTTCAATTCCAGATCTTACATTCAGATGCTTATTTAGCATCATCCCTTGTCTGATTCACAGGGACCTAAAGCTCAGTATGCTCCACACTGCACTTGTGATCTACATCCTTATCCCAGGGTTCTGTCTCTTGCTGAATGGAACACTATCCACAACAGGTACTCAAGCCAAAAACTCGAGTTTTTCTTGACACCTTTCTCTCCTTTTTCTTTCTTCAATCAATTGCTTAGTCCTCTTGATGATGCAAATAGTACTTCTTCAATAGCTCTTCAGTCTGTTCACATTTCATTTCTGCTACTATCTCTTGAGTTCAGTCATACCTTGCATGAAATATTGCCCTGATTGCCTAACTGGCATCCCTGAAGCTTCACTTGCCTTCCTCTAGTTAATCATTCACAGAGCAGATAGAATGATCTTTTCAGAAAAAAATGATCACAGCACTGCTCTTCTTCAAACTCTTCAACAGCTTCTCATTGCCTTTAGGCCAATGTCGTTGGGTCTTAGCTCTCTTAGCTCTGTCTGGCCCATGCTCACTTCTCCAGTCTTCTCCCTGCCTCTTCCCATTCTCCCTGCCTCTTCAGCTCCCGAAATGCATCATACTGTCCTGCACCTCCTGACCTTTGCACATGCTGTTCCTGCTGAAAGGAATGCTTCTGGGCCAGGGCAGTGACTCATGACTGTAATCCCAGCACTTTGGGAGTCCAAGGCAAGTAGATTACTTGAGTTCAGGAGCTTAAGATCAGTGTGGACAACATGACAAAACCCCAGCTCTAAGAAAAATACAAAAATTAGCCTGTAGTCCCAGCTACTCAGGAGGCTGAGGGGGGAGGAGCCTGGAGGTTGAGGCTGCAGTGAGCCAAGATTGTGCCACTGCACTTCAGCCTGGGTGACAGTGAGACTCATCTCAAAAAAAAAAAAAAAAAAGCTTCTACTTGCCTTTTGCCTGCTCACAGTGGATAAATGGTACTCACCCCTCAGGGCCATTTTTTTCAGGAGAACTCATCTTGATACCTATCCTCCTCAACCTCTGACTATATGTCCCCTGCCTATTTCCATTGTAAAACTCATTATACTTGTAATTATTTATTCAGCGCCTGAATTTCATGCTTGACTGTGAGCGCTATAAGCAGAAGAACTGTGTCTGTTTTGTATACTGAAGTACTCCCAGCGTGAAACATAGAAAGCACTTCAAAAAAAACTTCTTGAAGAGGTCAAGAGTGATTTGTCACCCTTAATGGGGAAAATAGTCTCTCTCATAAGATGTTGATTATTTTGCTGTCCTTCTTTTCCGTATCTCCAGTGAAAAAATTACAAATAGATACTAAAATTCTCCCATAAATGTCCCCAAGATGGTTTTCATTCTGAATATGAGAATCTGGTGCTTAAGTGGTAAATTTAGACAGATGTGGATGCTATAATTTTAGTTCTTTGTTTTTCTCTCTAGTAAAAACAAATTTATCTCTATCTTAGGTAAGTACAGAGCTAAGGAAATAATACCTAAATGACAAAGTTTGGCCAAATCTTCAGGTTCTGTTCTACAAATGACTCCATCTAGAAGGATTTTAATATTTCCTCTGGTTTTTGTTACTTTTTTTTCCCCCCATAAAATGTATGACCCAAACTTGTTCCTTTTTAAAAGCTGAACTCATAGCTTTACATGTTTTAATTAACTGTTCTGAAAATATTTTTTTCTTTTAAGAAGTAGAAATTAGAAAACATTCTGTGTGAAAGGGATTTATTTTACAGAATTATTTCTTATTTTTGAATTTGAACTCTGTAACTTAATATGGAAGTTGAGTGTCATTAAGGGAGAGACACGTACCAAGGTCAAATAAGACTGGATAAAATATCTGCCTTGGCCACCTGTGTCAGGGGCTAAAGATCGAACTGATTGTTTTTGGGCTTCATGTACAGAAACAAGGACTTCTGAATTCATACCTGAGGTTGGCAAGTTTAGCCAGAGCTTTTTAAAACCTATTTATAAAGTGTTTGTCTTTCAATATGTTTCTTCATTCTTTTTTTTTTTTTTTTTTTTTTTTTTTTTTGAGACTGAGTTTTGCTCTTGTTGCCCAGGCTGGAGTGCAGTGGCACGATCTCAACTCACCATAACCTCCGCCTCCCGGGTTCAAGCGATTCTCCTGCCTGAGCCTCCTGAGTAGTTGGGATTACAGGCATGCACCACCACACCCGATTAATTTTGTATTTTTAGTAGAGACAGAGTTTCTGCATGTTGGTCAGGCTGGTCTCGAACTCCCAACCTCAGATGATCCGCCCACCTTGGCCTCCCAGAGTGTTGAGATTATAGGTGTGAGCCACTGCGCCCGGTCTCCTCATTCTTTTTAATTATTACATGTAAGCGCAATATTCTTTGTAGCCATTAGATTTAAATGCAGTAGTTAGGTTCAGAGATATTATAGAGAAGTTTAAAGAGGAACTATTGAGTTGCTTCAATGTAGTATGCATTTGAAGAATACATGTACAACTCTTCATAGATTTTATGTTCTTAGAACATTTCTGCCAAATTTATCTCTTTCATATGTTATATGTAACATAGATATATTGGATATACTGAATATTGTACTATCTATTGTGATGTAACAAATTATGCCAAAACGTATCAGCTTAAAACAACATTTATTGATGAGAACACATGGACACATAGAGGAGAACAACACACACTGGGCCCTACCAGAAGGTGGAGAGTGGGAGCAGAGAGAAGATCAGGAAAAATAACTATTGGGTACCAGGCTTAATAGCTGGATGATGAAATAATCTCTATGACAAACCCCCATGACACAAGTTTACCTGTATAACAAACCTGTACTTGTACCCCTGAAGTTAAAAGTTAAAAAAAGAAAATATATGGACTATAGGTTTTCTGATTTCTAAAAAATAATAGTAAAGAAAACATTTATTATGGTAGCTTCTATTAGTTAGGAATCTGAATTGAGTGTGGCTTAGGTGGGTGCCTCTGGCTTCAGGTCTCTCATGAGGTTATAGTCAAGCTGTCAGCCACAGCTGCAGTTGTCTCAAGGCTTGGCTCAAGTTGACTCAAGGCTGAAGAGTCTGTTTCTGAGCTCACTTGTGGTTATTGGCAGACCTCAGATTGCTCATGTGGGTCTCTCCGCAGAGCTGCCCCATGACACGGAGGCCGGCTTCCTTCTTGGCCAAGAGAGGGCATAAGAGAGTACCCAAAATTCAAGGCTTAGTCTCTTATAACCTAATTAAGAAAATCACATCATTTCTGCTATATGCTGTTGGTTAGAAGTGATTCACTAGGTCACTTCAAAGTGGGGATCATTGTGGGCCACTTCAGAGGCTGTGTATGGTGGCTGGGGGACACACACACAGTTTTGCACTAACTTGTGGTCCCCCCAAATTCATATGTTGAAGTTCTAACCTCTGGTATCTCAGAATGTAATCATATTTGGAGAAGGTCTTTAAGGGGTGATTAAGATAAAATGAGGCAGTTAGGGTGGGCCCTATTCCAATACAACTAGTGTCCTTGTATGAAGGGGACATTTGGACAATGGAGAGAGACACCAGGGATGCTTAGCACAGAAAAAGAGGACACAGTGCAAACAGAGGAGAGAGGCCTCAGGAGGAACCAAACCTGCTGATAACTTGATCTTGGATTTCACTGTGAGAAAATAAATTTCCATTGTTTAAACCACTTAGTTTGTGATACTTTGTTATGGCTGCCATAGCAAACTTATATACACATATATAACATTTTTAAAGAAAATGTTTTTCATAATGTTTAAATTTCATGGTAATCAGAATTTATCTTCTTTTTCCCCTTGAAATTGTAGGAGCAATGTTCCTTTAGTTGGGACTGGGGGCCTTCCTTTCCTACCCAGGGAATCTGGAAAGATGTTAGAATTGAAGCCTATAATATTTGTCACCTGAACGACTTCACATTTTCCCCAATATATGGTAAGCTGAAAGAAGTGATTTTTTTTCTTTTTGAGTCTTCTTGTTATAAAAATTGGGTTTATAATTGAAATACAGAGGTATGTTTCTCAGAGATTTAGAATTTTTAAAATCTTTGTAGTACAATCAATTTATAAAAGTAAAAAATAGGTACAAACTGATTTTACATGAAAATTGACAATATAAAGCAGGTATGTAGGTAAATATCTTTTAGCATATTTTACAGAAAAAGGAAAAAATAAAATGGAAGAGCAGCTCCAAGTTTTCCTGAGATAAGTATTCTTTCTTGAAAGGACTGGGCCTGCTGGCTGGTGCTCCTTTTTGCAGCCTCTCTAGTCACTTTTAGTGTCGAATTCTTGCTTTGCTTACATTGTTAGACTGACTTGCTGTCTCTGTACATTTTCTTCATAACCGGGAGCACTACTCTGAGGGCCCTGACACAAGGGCCCTGACACAGCAGCCTTGTGAAGAGTTAAAAATAAACTGGAAGGTAAATAGGGCAAAAGAAAGATTTCTTTTCTTTTTTATTTTTATTTTTTGAGACGGAGTTTCACTCTTGTTGCCCAGGCTGGAGTGCAATGGCATGATCTTGGCTCACTGCAACCTCCACCTCCCGGGTTCAAGCGATTCTCCTGCCTCAGCCTCCTGAGTAGCTGTGATTACAGGCATGTGCCACCATGCCCAGCTAATTTTGTATTTTTAGTAGAGACGGGTTTTTTCCGTGTTGGCCAGGCTGGTCTCGGACTCCTGACCTCAGGTGATCTGCCTGCCTCAGCCTCCCAAAGTGCTGGGATTACAGATGTGAGCCACCGCGCCTGGCCAAGAGAAATATTTCTAAGGTGAAAAATAGTACTTTTTTAGTTGAAGCAACTATTCAATATCAAGGAGCATTGAAACAGAACCTCAGAAATCTCACAGATGTCAGTGGATAAGTTAAAAGCTGGTTAAATATTTGTTGCTTTCTTTGCTCAGCACTGTGTTTATTTGATGTAGAAAAGAAATAGAGTAGGTACACTGATCCTTCATGTGTGGGAAGGGGAGATACAAACAATTGCCAAACAAAACAAATAACCTTCCAAGATAAGAGCCAGAAAATCAAAGATCAGTGAGGATTTGAGAAGTTAGGGAAATGAAGGGTGAAGATGGAGGCAAGTGAGATCTTAAATGAGAGCATGCAATGCTCAGTGTAATCACATGGAAGCCTAACTAGATGAAATCAGTAAGAAAGAATGTGATGTGTCAGTACAAGAGTTCTGTTATCTTGAGAGCCCTGGTGACCTTAGCTTGCTATTCAATTAGAGAAATCTGTATTATCTGAAGGCAGAAGATGAAAGCAAATGACAGATGCTTCGATTTGAGGAGGTTATTTGGTGCTGTTGGTATTTTTAAACTTTAAAAATGCATTAAAAGATCTAATTTAAGTTGTACATGTAAATGTGGCTGTGCTTATAATTCTCTAGTTTAGTGCTTCCCAAACTATTCTTCTGAGGTGTAATCCAACTAAAGATTTTCACTACTAAAATCAAATAGTGGTTTAATTTCCCTTCATCCCATGTTACCACCCATACGTTTTCTCAGGTATAAGTAACAGAATCTGGTATAAGAAGTGGTCTGAGCCGAGCGCCATGGCTCATGCCTGTAATTCCAGCACTTTGGGAGGCTAAAATGGGTGGATTCCCTGAGCCTAAGAGTTAGAGACTAGCCTGGGCAACATGGCAAAATCCTCTCTCTGACAAAAAAATACAAAAATTAGCCAGGCCTGGTGGCATTCACCTGTAGTCCCAGCTACTCAAGAGGCTGAGGTGGGAGGATTGCTTGAGCTCAGGAGGTAGAGCTGCTGTGAGCTGTGATTGTACCACTGCACTCTAGCCTGGGTGATGGAGTGAGATGCTGTTTCAAAAAGAAAAAAAAAGTGGTCTGATTTAGCAAAAAGTTATTTATTTGTTTTGAAGCTTAATCAGTATTTTAGATGGTCTGCAAAATGCATTATAAGCTCTAGGTACCCTGATGCCTGAAAAAATTTTGAATAATACTGCTCTAGTTTAATTTACAATTTTGAATATTAAACTAAACATTTCTTCCTGAGTTATTAGAGTTCACTTTATTAGTCACTGGTGACTGGGTGAATGTTATATAAATTAAATTAATTTAAATGATGCTTAAAATTCAATTTAGATTCAGTGTAAACAGTTCCTCCTTTCAACTACATTTGGGAAGGTTAAATATATTTTTAAATTGATACATAATATTTGTACATATTTATGGGGTATGTGTGATATTCTGTTACATGCATAGAATGTGTAATGATCAAGTCAGGGTATTTCAGGTATCTATCACCTCTAGTATTTATCATTTCTGTGTGTTGGGAACATTTCAAGTCCTCTCTTCTAGCTATTTTGAAATATACAATACATGTTGTTAAGCATAGTCACACTATTACGCTGTCAAACATGAGAACTTATTCCTTCTAATTAAATGCATGCTTGTACCCATTCATCAGCCTTTCTTCATTCCTCTCTGCCACTCATACCCCTCCTATCCTCTGGTCTCTATTATTTCACTTTCTACCTCCATGAGATCAACATTTTTACCTCCGACGTGTGAGTGGCAAGATGCAAAATTTGTCTTTCTGTGTCTGACTTTCACTTAACATAATGACCTCCAGTTCCATCCATGTTGCTAAGACATGATTTTATTCTTTTTTATCCATTCATCTGTTGATGGACACTTAGGTTGATTCTATATCTTTGCTATTGTGAATAGTGCTGCAGTAAACATGGGGGTGCAGGTATCTTTTTGTTATATTGATTTCTTTTTCTATGGATAAATACCTATTAGTGGGATTATTGGATTGTATGGTAATGGTTCTACTATTAATTTCTTGAGAAATATTGTATTTCCATTGTGGCTGTACTCACTCACATTCCCATTAACAGTGTATAAATGTTTCCTCTTCTCTGCATCCTCCCCAGCATCTATTATTTTTTGTCTTTTCAGTAATAGTCATTCTAACTGGAGTAAGATAGTATTTGTGGTTTTGATTTACATTTCCCTGATGATTAGTGATGTTGACCATTTGTGCATATACCTGTTGGCCATTTGTATGTCTTCTTTAGAGAAATGTCTATTCATATCCTTTGCCCACTTTTAAATGGGATTATTTGCTTTTTTTTTTTTTTTTTTTTTTTTTGAGACGGAGTCTCGCTCTGTGGCCCAGGCTGGAGTGCAGTGGCCGATCTCAGCTCACTGCAAGCTCCGCCTCCCGGGTTTACGTCATTCTCCTGCCTCAGCCTCCAGAGTAGCTGGGACTACAGGCACCCGCCACCTCGCCCGGCTAGTTTTTTGTATTTTTTTTTAGTAGAGACGGGGTTTCACGGTTTCACCGTGTTAGCCAGGATGGTCTCGATCTCCTGACCTCGTGATCCACCCGTTTCGGCCTCCCAAAGTGCTGGGATTACAGGCTTGAGCCACCGCGCCCGGCCCCGGGTTATTTGCTTTTTTACTGTTCAGTTGAGTTTCTTGTGTATTCCAGATGTTAGTACCTTGTCAAATGGATAGTCTGCAAATATTTTCTCTCTTTCAACCAGTTGTCTCTACATTCTGTTGAATGCTTCCTTTGCTGTGAAGAAGCTTTTTAGTTTAATATAGTACTATTTGTCTATGTTTATGTTTGTTATCTTTGCTTTTGAGATCTTAGCTGTAAAATCTTTGTCCAGATCGATGTCTTGAAATGCTTCTCATATGTTTTCTTCTAGTAGTTTTATTGTTTCAGGTCTCATGCTTAAGTCTTTAATTCATCTTGAGTTGATTTTTATTTATGGTGAGAGATAAGAGTCCAGTTTCATTTTGCATATGGATGTCCAATTTTCCCAGCACTATTTATTGAAGAGGATTGAAGAGGGTGTTCTTTCTTCAATACATGTTCTCTGACCAAGGTGCCTTTGTGAAAAATCAGTTACTTATAAATAAGTGGATTTATTTCTGGGGTTTAGACTTTGTTCCTTTGGTTTATGTGTCTGTTTTCAGATAATGTGATGTAATCTTTGACTCAGGATTGCGTTGGTTTTTTGAGCTCTTTTTTGGTTCCATGTGAATTTTAGGATTGTTTTTTTCTATTTCTGTGAAAAGTGACTTTGGTGTTTTGATAGTGATTGATTGCATGGACTCTGTAGATTGCTTTGGGTAGTATGGTGGTCATTTGAATGATATTAATTCTTCCAACCCATGAGCATGGGATGTTTTTCGATTTGTTTGTGTGACCTCTTCAGTTTATTTCATCAGACGTTTATAGTTTTCCTCATACAGGTCTTTCACCTTTTTGGTTACATTTATTCCTACGTATTTTATTTTTTATAGCTCTTGTAAATGGGATTGCCTTCTTGATTTCTTTCTCAGCTAGTTCACTATTGATGTGTAGAAATACTACTAATTTTTGTATGTTGACTTTGTATCCTACAAATTTGCTGAATTTATTTATCAGATCTAAGCATTTTTTGATGAATCTTCCAAGTTTTTACAGTTATAAGAGCATGTCATCTGCAAAGAGGAATAATATTACTTCCTCTTTTCCAATTTGGATACCTTTTATGTTTTTCTCTTGCTTGATTGCCCTGGATAGGACTTCCAGCATTTTATTGGATAGGAGTGGTGAAAGTGGGCATCCTTTTCCCTTTCTGATTCTTAGAGGAAAGACTTTTAGCTCTTCCTCATTTGGTGTGATGTGAGCTCTAGGTTTTTATATATGGGCTTTATTATATTGAGGTATACGCCTTCTATGACTAATTTGTTGATAGTTTTTATCATGAAGGGATATTGAATTTTATTAAATGCTTTTTCTGCATCTATTGAGATGATCATATGTTTTCTGTCTTTCTGTTGATGTGAGGTATCACATTTATTGATTTGTGCAAATGTAAGATCCTTGCATCCCTGGGATAAATTCCACTTGCTTGTGGTATATTATCTTTATGATGTACTGTTGGAGTTGGTTTGCTAGGATTTTG